GCACTAGTAGAGCGAGCGTGAAGCGGCGAGACGTGTAGGCAACTTCTGAGGCTTGCGATGGGTCGGCGTGAATCGAGGCGCACATGGCGGCATTCATTTTCACTGGGTTTTGTCCGTGAGTGGGAAGGCAATTCGCGTCTTGGAAAATCAAACCCGTAATATTGTGAGAAGGGCTGGATACTTACTTTGTTCTCGTACCTTGGGAGGTCCCGCCCCGCTTCATCTGCAGGCTACTATAAGAACCAGGTCAATGAGAGAAGTTACTGTAGAAGCGAACCTATTTCTCCTATCGCAAACCTCAGCCTAACCGAGTTCCGGAGGGCCAGGATCAGTGCTGGAGATACTGCCGTGAATATAGGGCTCTCCATAGCTCTCCATGGACACCCTCAAAGTCGAACTCGTCATAGATTTCTTTACCAATAAGCTCTGTCGTAGGGTTAGTATTGTTGGTTATATGTATGAAATTACAAGACTTGCCTTCCAGTACGTCTTCCAACGTGATAATTCCAAGAGGCGATACCGCAGGGTCAAAGTTTTGCAAAAACTGTGAAGAGATTCATGAGAAACAATGGTAGGGATGATGAGTAAAATACTGACCTCATCCGCATACGCACCGTGTAGGACTAGACGCATCCGCGATACCATCGTATTAAGCTGCGAAGGGAGCCAAAACGGCGCGACACTCGATGTGATCATGATGGTCTGTGGTCAAGAAATTCAGCACCGTGTTTCCTCATTAGGCTTACCCTCTTACCGCCACTACTCTCGAGCCTCTCACGCTGCTACGAACCCATGATCCACTCTCACTAACTGAGCTACCGTGCGTATCTCTCTTGTCTCCCTCTCTCCTCGCACTCATCGTGTCCGGCGAATATAGGTAAACTAAACGAGCACAATTTGAGCACAATACATATTCCTAGCTCATCACGAAGGTCACGCTGGCGAAGATGGAAGACCCCAAGCGTGAAAGGAAGGCTGAATTTGTGAAAATCAATGGTAGAGGAATACGTGCGTCTTCTACGTCAATAATTTGAAACGCTCAGAGACTGAATCTGCATGCACCGCAAACCACGCACAGCCTACCACCGCGTCAGTCGCCGCAATCTTGCGTTTCTCGGTAACCGCACGCCTTTTGGAGTAAACACCAGGCGTTAATTTCCGTCCACCCGCAAGACTTTCACACACCGCCCATCTCATTCGTGCCCAGACCATCGACACCGTATTATTCGTGCACTTGAAGCGAGATGAAAAGCGACGCGACATTCTCCTATCCTCACTGGCTGTGAACGACGTTCTTTCCCAGGTTTTCCCGGACAACCGACCGCATCACGCAATTAAAAGCCACAGCCTCAGTACGCCTCTTGGATCGCAACCATCATGTCCGCCTACGTACCACCTCCCCCATGCGCCACGAACAATGGTCTCTATAACTGCATGCAGCCAGAGCTAGTAGAGGCCCGCCAACGCGCGCGCGAAATCATGTACCGCTACAACACCTCCCCACCAACACGCGACGGTCGCGAGCGCAGAGAGATGCTCGCCGAACTGTTCTGTGTCCCAGTCGAAAGTATCCCAAATGTCTACATTGAACCTCCGTAAATACCACACTCTATCCCTCTTCTGTATCTGACCGGGGCCATCGATCCAGGTTGTACGTCGATTTCGGATCCAATGTACGTCCGCCGCGTCTAATGACGCCGTGCTCTGCCGTACTCACACATTATGCAGATCAAAGTCGCTTCAGACTTTTACGCGAATTACAATACGACCATCTTGGACTGCGCGACCGTTACAATTGGGAAGCGCGTCTTATTTGGGCCTAGCGTATCACTGTACCCCGCTACCCACGGCATCAGCGTCAAAGAGCGTCAATCTGGCTTGGAACGCGCGAATGAGATAACCATCGGCGACGATTGCTGGATTGGAGGCGGAGGTAAACTTTGGCATTACTTATCCCTGCGACACATTGACTAACAAGCTCTGAATCTAGCGAATATCCAAGCTGGCGTCACGCTTGGTCAAGGATGCACCGTTGGCGCAGGCGCTGTCGTTACGAAGAGTTTCCCAGATTGGTCAGTGTGTCTGCGTCTTGCTCACTGGATGTGCGCTTACTGCGACTTTGTTGCTCCAGGAGTGTCGTCGTTGGTAACCCTGCACGATTGATCAAGGTTGTACCCGAGGAGGAGCGAGGATCTGAATGGGATCCTGCCAAGGCTATCGCGAATTAATGTGTTCCGTACAGGTAGAATACAGGCCTTTCGAAATCTTCCGGTCTCGATGTTAGTCAGTGGGACGACGAGACGTGCATAGGAATGTAGAACGGTCCAGGAGTGGTGGTAAGGACGGGGAGGTAACCCAATAAGGAAATACGCGTTTGACCACCAACCATCATGATCATACTGGGTTCGTGTTTTCTTCGCCAAAACATTCTCATTGGTCGCAGGCCTCTTGTGCTCTTTATGCCCGGGAGCAGGCTGAATAACGCACTGAGGTTCGTCAAAAGTTGCGGTGCTTTAGATACATAAACTGACGCGTCGCCATGTTACAGAATTTCCCGATACGTCTCGTCGCCTCACATTCCTCCGGCAATGTAGCCGATGTTATCACAGGATTTCAGCGCTTCATCCTGCGTCCTGACTTTGAATGCCCACTACAAGTAGCGACGCATGTACAGATCGAATGGCATCAACTCCAACCTCGATTTTGGCCGTAGACGTGATGTGGTTCGGTTCAGTCCAGTGGATACGGTCGCATTTCTTCCCCGTATTTCCTTTCTGCGATGCGTAAAGGCTCTGCATAGCTGCACGCCGAGACCACGGACAAATCTGCAAGCAGTCGTCTCAACTAGGACAACCGTCCGTGTGGGAGACCTCACGCGTTTCGGACGTTAAACAGGATGCTATAGATCATAATCAATCAATCAACCATCGACACAACGTCTCGTACGCACCCCCTAGACGAACTCGCTTGCCCACGGAGAACAAGGAGCTCGAGACGTCACTTCCAGTTTGAGCTGACGGGGTTGGACATGACGATGCTTGAACATCCCAACTATGTAGAATTGCAACCTCTCGCGCTTCGGGGTTGTGATGAACATAGAAGATCGTTATCAACATCCTCTCACAAGTTGACGCGCCTAAACTTACTCCCTGTAGACCAATTCGCGACTGGTACATCTGGCAACCACGCCTAACAATCGGAGATTGGTATTTGAAGGCCCAATCTTCTTCCCAAATGTCCGTTGACAACACCCATAGGCTCTGCATGGACACAGGCGAATACTACCCACGCCTGTACATTGACACACAGTCCGATCTCAACTGGGACGACTCCAGTGCGCGACGCTTCATCATGCGCTTCTGGATAGACCGGCGCTGTAGGATGGACGCCATCAACATCATTCCGAAAGTCGAAGGACTCCGCGGCGTGCGATAAGGACGAAGAGGTTCAGGATCCCCCGGATGCACGAGTACATAAAGGAGATGCGGGCGAAGGTGTTGTCACATACGCCCATTCCGAATATTATCTTGTTTTGACTGCACATCATGAATCTGTGCTATAGATTAGGATTTGATAACTGTTGGTGACACACCGTGTGCTAACTCACCGAGATGAACTCGCGAGCTATGTACGTTTTGACGGGACTGGACGTGACGATGTCAACCCTCTCGAGTATTTCAACTGGACCGTTGCGGAGCTGCAGCCGATGGCAGAGTTTCAAGCACAAAGAGGGATTTTAGAATGCGTATGATTTCCTGCTTCATTTTGTTTTAGTATCTACATGTCACTGAGAGGATTCTTCGTAGCGTCTACACGACCACTCCCGCTCCGTGTCGCGTTCGATACTGTTTCAGCGAAGCTCGAGATTACGTGGCAGAAACGCACTCTATACGTTAAGCGCTGGGTATGAATAACTTTCCCCGGAGCTGGGGATTGGAAGACGTCGCGACGCGCACTCATTGGAACAAGTAAGTCTGTTGCCTTACTACTCAGCGGTCTGTCAAAGTGCTCATGATAACGTTAGTAGAGTCCTGGCTCGCCGCGTCCAAAGGGATCATGTAAACAAATACTCCCATGGTGCGGTCGCCATTCGTTCTCTTATACGCCGATGATGAGTTTCAACTTTGCACCAACCTAGACACACTACGGTGCATGTCAGGGCGATAAGTAATTTAGGACGGTGATGCTTCTTCCCTCACAATCAGCACCTTTTTCCAAAACACAATGTTTTCCCGTCATTGAGCAATCCTGGAAATCATGATCGCCATGAATGCGCCTCCACAAAGGATCACTGCTCGTGAATCCAGTATCGCTGGTGTTGGTGAGTTTCAGTAACAGCTGCGAAGGTGAGGTAGAGGAGTCGAAAGGTGGCAAATTACGCCCTTGAGAAAGCGGGCCGCGTGTGACTCGAAAGCCGTATAAGGGAAGATTGTATATTTCAGTTGGAGGTGGATGTACTACTTAGTGAGATGTCGGTGTACTCGCGCCCCATCGATTTGCAATCCACGTTAAAGGTTCAAGCTACATCATAGAAACGGTTAGAGATTGGAAGTGGCCGTGGCTCTGGCATCGGGCATCCATTTCCTTTCAAGCACATTGAAAAAAAAAATTCAGGGGGTGCACATGTCTCGACAGAACCAAGTTTACCGTTTTGGAAGTCTGTGGCGCAATTTATGTACACTGACAAAGTGAAAAAGAGATGACCGTCAGTTGCAAAATCCAACTGAATTAAAGGGAATCGAATCCCCAGCGGGTCGAACACGTAATGTTCAATGGCAACGACGCAGGTTACCACTACCTTATTAATGCATAAGTACTACCAAGTGCCATTCATCTCAGCTGGGAGTGCTTGGATACTTACAGGGGAAACTAGATGATGAATTATCAGGTCCAAGAAGGGGAATTAAAAAAAACAAGATCAAACTTGAAGGGAAAGTCAAGGATCATCGAAGTGTGGCGCAATTCTCAGTAGAAAAATCACGTCCAGCATTGTACGTCAGCTACCCCAGTGAGGCTAGAACTCACGACCTTCCGATTGAACATTCAACATTCGCCGCCGACAGAAGCCCATAACAGTCAGACGCTGTAACCAACTCAGCCATGGGGCATGGATGGGTTAATTTTTGTGTCAGAAGGTATTCTCGCCGTTGAAGAGAGGAAGGAACGTACACAAGCTTCCGTGGGAGATTGGAAAGAGACATGCAGAAGCCAACTTGAATCCAATCATTGCGACGCGACGCATGTCTGAAATGGGCGGGGGAATCAGAGGATGGAGAAGAACGCGCACCGGTGCATGTACTGGTGACTCGGAAGATACGCCCGTTGAATTGAAAAACACAAATTGAAAGTGCTACGCGTGGAAAAGATCATGGGATACACGCACTCTACACGAGAACATACGAACAGTAAGTATGGCACGCGTCTCATCCACGTCCCCGTGAGCAATGCATCGCCATGGAAAGATGCGAGGCGTATCACAGGTCAGTGAACGACGATGCTCAGTAAAAGGCTGCAATCCCGGTGAAACGCAAATGGAATGGACAATATCAAAACAACAGATACAGAGATCCAGAAATTCCACTCAAAAATCGGGGTGTGGCTCAACCACTTCATCAGACAGCTCGGCAATGTCGCCACGAGCTTGGTCAGATACCACAACCCCTCCTCCCCGTCGTCCCCATCATGGCGCACCATCTGGACAAATGTATCCTCCAGCCCCATGCCCACCTTTAATACCGCTGCAGTCTCATCCTTGACTGGGATCACGATATCATCTTTCCACGGGTTATGCGCACCCGTCAAGTTCTGCCAGAACGTGTCCCCTTGGGAGTCTCCTCAATCACAGGATCGTCGGGCCACGAACTAAGGACAACCTTCGAAAACTGGCTCGCAAGCTCTTAAGCCGTGACGCGCCTGGTAGAGCTTTCGACGACGCCAACGGTATGAATGGCGGTGAGAACGGGAGTTGTCGCTCCAAGCAACATAGAAAGGGTCTTCTCCGCGAGAAGCTTCCAAGCCGTTGTTAGAACGCCCCCATCCACGTCCTGCTTCATTCTTACAGCAGCAATCACTACCGTAGGTTGATCGGACCAGACCAAGTTCCTAGTAGACGGAAACTGCAAGTGTTGTTGCCTTGTAGGGTGAACGAAAACCAGACCTTGATCATTTGCTAAAGCTGCCAGTCAGGCTCTGGTCCGTCGTAGAAGATGCTTCGTTACATTGAATTGCATGCAGACAATTTAAGCTCGAGGCGACAGTCGATGAAACGAACGCGGTATCCTTCATAATAGGGCAAACATTACGCAAGGAACAGGTCCCGTTGCCCGTCCAGGTCCAAGGTGCAGAACCTCCGAAATCCCAATCAAGGACGTGGAAATACTGCTGTAATACACGAAAAAGTCGTTCACTATTATGAGATCTCTACCTTCAATGAGCTAAGTTCTCGAAATACACAAGTCACCTGGAAACTGCGAAAACCACGCTATTGCCTCCGATGCTTTCAGTCAAAGCCGACGTGACCCAGACGTGACCCGTATAGCGAGGTCCATCCCATCGTCAACCAGTGCATCGAATATAAGCCTTTCGGCTTCACTGAAGATATGTGGGACGAAAGTCGCAGCTTCCCGATATACGCCGTCCCTCAGATGGTGTGCCTCCACAGCAAAGTGGCATGTCCTAAGCCTTGCCAGTCCTACCGAAGAATCCCCTTTCCAGCGCGCCTTGACCATGGAAGCAAAACTGCCAACCGGCCCAAAACACTGTAGGAAATATGGGTTACGATGGTTATACACTCGAATGTCCAGAGACGAAAGGAGGGGTAGAAACGTGACCGTTTTCGCTGGTATGACCTCGAGGGATTTCAGGATCGTGACTATTTGTTCCCGGTTGTCAACATCCGTCTGATCAGTGAAGTCCTTCACGGATATAGACAGGTTGAGGAAAGCGAGACTATGTGTCTGCGAAAGGAGAGAAAGGAGGGTATGGTGCATTGACACGGCAAGTGGCACACTAGCAAGCGAGAGGCTGGTGAGAGCACTCAAACAATTGGAACGAATGAGTAGTTGTTTAAACGAATAAAGGTGATTGTAGGGAGCCATGGAAAGTTCAGGATGAAGGGAAGCCTCCCGTAGAAGAGGAAGCGTGAGAGTGACGGGCACCGATATGGCATCGAGCTTGCGCACATTTGAGCAGGTAATACGCGCGGACACTGAGTCATCGTCATCATCCGGATCCCAGTAAGGTGTAGAGAGGATCTCAAGCGACGGACACTGTCCAATCAAATGCATACATGCCCTGCGCTCCTCCTCGTCATCATCGCAGTCCATACCAGAAAGGTCTAGCTCCGTTATTTGATCCCACGGAAATTCAACACCCAGCATACCTCTACCAAGAGTCAATTTCGTAAGACGAGGACAGTCTTTGAAGACAGACACCACTGAGTGTTCCTCCAGCTCGAGCGGAGTGCAATCAAGGGCCACGGCCTCAAGGCGAGGAAGCCGATTATGAAGTGACGCGTAAAGAATATTTAAATCTCCTCCCCAATCTGATAGATGTAACACCCGCAACCGGTACGACTCTGCCAGGACGATGTCCAAGATGCGCTTGAGGATCGAGGGATTAGAGGTCTGAGTATCTGACATGTGGTCGCTCAGATATATGTCTAGTGGTCCCTGACGGGAACGCTGAATGACTGCCTCCAAGCGCTGCACATCTCCTTCATGCTGCGCCGCTTGGGGAAAATAAATATCCATAGTCGACCAAAATGAATGGAGGGATAAAGCAACGTTTCGCCATCTCTGGCAAACGTGGCTGAGCTGCCATATGGACCCAGACGCGTCAAAAGCGTTGGAATCGGAGTCTCCGGAAAGTGTGTATAGGAAGATTTCCGACAGGATTTCCAAGGGGAGCGTGCGATGCAAGGAAACGAGGTTGATGTACCGCTTCTGGACGTTTTTCAACCTCTCCCGCTCTTCCTCCATCGACGTGATGACCTCCCGAAGAGATGCGACTTGGGAATCAATGGATGATATGTCGTCGGAGACAGTGGGTAAAATGGTGTGTCGGACGTGCGAAATCTCCTCGTCCGTCGGTGAGAAATTCGTGGTACGGAGCCGCTCGAGGAGCACGGAACCCTGATATGCTTCTTCATGGTGAAGACTCCGTCTGGGGAAAGCACCACAGCTGGTGCATTGTGACGCAATCTGCTGCATCCCGGACGCAGACTGACTCGAACAGCAGGAAATGAAAAGTGCCCACTACAAGAAATGTTAAGGACGCGTTTCCGAAGGCGTCAATACGCACCTGGATGACCTATGAGATCTCAAAGATTCTCGCACTGGTAGATGACCGTGGTGGGCGCGTCGGAGAGCCCAATGACGCCGCTGAATATGGTGGTGCGGAAGAAACCCTCTTGTGATCGACCAATTAGCTGCAGCCGCTGTTTCCTCATTAGGCTTACCCTCTTACCGCCACTACTCTCGAGCCTCTCACGCTGCTACGAACCCATGATTCGCTCTCACTCACTGAGCTACCTGTTCGGCATCCATGTATTTTCTGTAGGAACGATTGGCCTAGTGCGTATTGCCTCTCTTGTCTCCCACTATCCTCGCGCTCATCGTGTCCTGCGAATATAAGTAAACTAAACGAGCCCAATACATATTCCTAGTCATCATGACGGTCACGCTGGAGAAGACGGAAGACCCCAAGCGTAAAAGGAAGGCCGAATTTGTGACAATCGATGGGTCGCGGGTACAGGAACAGGTGCGCCTTCTACGTTAATTTGAAACGCTATACTAAATCTCCATTCGACTATAAAGCACTGAAAGCCACGCACAGCCTACCACCGCGTCAGTCAGGCGCAATCCTGCGTTTCTGCACCTCCATAGTTAATGGGCAACTGCACGCCCTTTGGAGTAAACACCAGGCGTTAATTTCCGTCCACCCCCAAGACTTTCACACCACACGTGCGCCCATCTCATACGCGCTAAGACCATCGACACGGTATTATTCGTGCACTTGACGCGAGATGAAACGCAACGCGACGTTCTCCTATCCTCGCTGGCTGTGAACGCTGTGTCAGAGCTTTCCCGAGGTTTCCCCGGACAACCAGCATCACGCAATTAAAAGTCACAGCCTCAGTACGCCTCTTGGATCGCAACCATCATGTCCTCCTACGTACCACCTCCTCCATGTGCCACGAACAATGGTCTGTATAATTGCATGCAGCCCGAGCTAGTGGCGGCCCGCCACCGCGCGCGCGAAAGTATGTACCGCTACAACACCTTCCCGCCCACACGCGACGGTCGCGAGCGCAGAGAGATGCTCGCCGAACTATTCTGTGTCCCAGTCGAAAGTATGCCAAACGTCTACATCGAACCTCCGTAAATACCACACTCTTTCACGTCGGTGCCTCTAGAGATGACACTTAGATCCGGGTTTCTACTAGAACTGCGAGAATGTCATAGTTTCTTATTCTCGCTAAGGAAAGCTAGCCAGACGACTGAGACCTGTGAGTTGGGTGAGGAAGGAAGGAGGGGGGAACACTTCAGGAAGTGAACCGACCCGATCCCCCTGGGGACGAGCCGAGTGGACAGATCTGAGAACCCATCCACTCTGCTCTAGGACCCAACCGTCCGACTTGATCTACTGGAAACCTCCAACCTCAGAAAAAGGTGCTGGGTGGGTGGGCAAAGAAAAAGAATGAGTCGCTCAACGACGCGGGAAAGTCGCATTGGCGCTGCTGGAGGCTTTCTAGATGGTGGGAGGACGGAAAGAGGAAACCCGGGATCACGTGCCTGTTGCCGGCCGCGTGAAACGTCGCCCCGATTCCCCCTACCCGCGCCAGCCTCCTCGGGGCTCCCATTTCACGTCGGTGCCTCTAGAGATGACACTTAGATCCGGGTTTCTACTAGAACTGCGAGAATGTCATAGTTTCTTATTCTCGCTAAGGAAAGCTAGCCAGACGACTGAGACCTGTGAGTTGGGTGAGGAAGGAAGGAGGGGGAACACTTCAGGAAGTGAACCGACCCGATCCCCTGGGGACGAGCCGAGTGGACAGATCTGAGAACCCACCCTAAGCCTTTCGGCGCGTCACGATCTGCACACTGAG